CTGCACTATAAATTTAAAACCTGTCTCAGTTGCTGTGGCACCACTAAGCATTTCATCAGCATACAGTACAGGGTTTCTGCCATCTTTGTTTGCATTGCAGTGACTCATCAAAAGTCTGTCTTGTACCAACACTGAGAGCATTCCTCTGGCACTGATATTTCTCTGTTTTTAAAGCTTCGGTTTGAAACTGGCATTTACTTCAGGTCCCTAATCAAAGGGCTCTATTCATTGCAGAGAGCAGCCTGAATGTTAATCTGCATCCGGCCTATTCATTTAGATGCTATGCACTGCCGTCGAGATTTGACTTGGTAAAAGCTTGAGCTACAGCAGATACAAACGGAGGTTTTGATACTATTTTTTCCCCCCCACCCCCTGAACGATCTTGGTTGCTGCAGTTAGTGTAGCAGACGGAGGCGATAAAAAGGGACTTAAGAGATCCTTCATTGAGCAGCAGTACCTTGGATCATTCGTTGTTTAAGGTATGTTCGCATGGTATCAGATGAGGGGGCATAGAAGTTCCTTGCTTTGAAGAATTCTCTCTTAAACCATGCAGATACAATTAAATTGGCTTTGTGCGTGTTCTCTTTTCTTCCTGTTCCTCAGTGGCTTTGCAGATAGGACTTTTTTCCAGCAGTGTGAACAGAGAAGTTCTTTGTAGGTTATTTTTCTTTTCAGAGGAGATTTAAAAAAAAATTTCAGGTAAATTTCTTTTTATGCCATTGTCATGAGGATTTGGTACTAGTTAAACACAGTTTACTCAGTACCGTCAAGTGCAAACATAATTTGAAATCTTCTGTTCTCTTAAGGGGGGGAGGGTTGGGTGATGGTGGGCAGGAGATTCTTGGGGTGTAGCCTTTATTTGGGCTAATAAGCACTGACTGGCTTTTCTGGAGTTTTATGCACTAAAATTACCTAATTTAATTTTACTGCTCCTATGGGCTTGTTTCAGAGCTTGCCTCTTTCTGTACAGAAAAGGAGAAATTATTCTCATCCCCAAAAGGTGCCAATGTCCTAAAACAGTACACTCTGTGCTGTTGTTTGATGCAAAGTCGAAAGCCGTATAGGCTGTAGATGTATTTTTTTTCATTTGAGATTGTTCAGAGGCGTTCTTGATAGTACTGTTTCTGATTTCAGAAGATGGGGTTGTTCCTATTACGGGGTGCGTGTCTTGCCTTGGATTAGGCTTGCACTATGTCACCTATAGAATCCCTTTTTAATATGACCAGGAACAGAACATAGGGCACTTGCCACAGGGGGACGTATGTGGACACTCTTGCCCTAGTCTGTATTTAAAATTAAAAACAAATGACTTGATGTTAAGTTTACTGCAGTACCTTGGTTTTGTTTGTTTGGGCTCAATTACCTGTCTTAATTTTGATTCATTTAAATTAAATGGCTCTTATAATTCCACTTAAAAGTAGTTTAACTCTGAATAGTTTCTTTTTTAAAACAAGTGTAGGGGCATCGTCTAGGATCGTTAAAATAGGGTTTTATTACAGTAACTACTTCGATAGAATGCTATATTTATTTCAGACAAAATGGCACATCATTTTGTAACTATTTCATCTCGAGTTTCAGCAGGTTTTTTTTATCCATTTCCAAAGGTCTGTTGAATATTAATAGGGCTACCTTACTATTCATTCCCACTCTGTTACCATCCATATTATCCTGTTTACTTTAAACTCCAGAGGAAGGTTAATTAAAAAAATTTTTTTTGAGAATATTTGAATATTTAAATACGTTTTTTAAAAAAAAAAATTTAAAATGCAATAAGTAATTTTATAAACACTTGGTGTTATACATCAGCCCTTAGGGTTTAGTTTTGAGTCATGTTAGGTTGTTTGTTTTTGTTTTTATTTGTTTGTTGCGGAGAACTGTCTAAAAATGCTGTTTCTTTCTCCCTGCCTTCTTCATTTTTCAGATGTGCTCTACTTTGGATACTTCTGCATTGCATGTCTAAGGAGCTCCAACTAATCCTGAGCCATGTCACAGATGTTGCACATAGAAATTCCCAACTTTGGGAACACTGTCTTGGGCTGCCTGAATGAGCAGAGGCTGCTGGGGCTTTACTGTGATGTGTCCATAGTTGTCAAGGGCCAAGCCTTCAAGGCACATCGTGCGGTGTTAGCAGCCAGCAGCCTGTACTTCAGAGACTTGTTTAGCGGGAACAGCAAAAGTGCATTTGAGCTCCCAGGTACCGTGCCACCAGCCTGCTTCCAGCAAATCCTTTCATTTTGTTACACTGGGAAACTCACAATGGCCGCGAGTGAACAGCTGGTAGTGATGTACACTGCAGGTTTCCTACAGATCCAACATATCGTAGAAAAAGGGACAGACTTGATGTTCAAAGTGAGTTCTCCCCACTGTGACTCTCAAACCACCATGATCGAAGATCCTAGTTCGGAACCTCAGAGCCCTTGTAACCAATTGCAGTCTGCTTCTGTGCCCTACGTCATGTCCCCTTCCATGCCCATCCCGCTCCTGACCCGGGTGAAACACGAAAATCTCGAGCTGCAACCCACAGCTGTGTCAGGCCTTCCTGTCAAGCGACCCTTGGAAGCCAGCACTCGGGATAGTACAGGAGGGAGCGTTTCTAATGCTGCTCCGCTAAAGTTGTCTCGTGTTTCATACTATGGAATGCCCAGTTTAGCTACTCTCATCCCAAACATACAGCAAGTGCAGTACTCCCAGGGGGAGCGGACGAGCCCAGGAGCCAGCAGCATTCCAACTACTGATAGTCCCACTTCCTACCACAATGAGGAGGATGAGGAAGATGATGAGGCTTATGATACCATGGTAGAAGAACAGTATGGGCAGATGTATATCAAATCCTCAGGAGGATATTCAGGTAATAAACCAAAACCTTCCCTTTCTCTAACCCTTTTGTTTTTCTCTTCCTCTTAAATCTTTTCTCCTTTGTCTAGAATATATTTTTTGGACTTTTCATCAGGTTTTTCTATATCCTGTTTGTTTACACATGAAGATTTGTGTTTGTGAATTTAATGCTGTTGAAAATTGCTGGCCTGACAGCCCAGGAAACTTGAATTCTCTATCCACAGAACAGGTACAGCATGGGCATAGGACAGTACAAACTTCACCACCACTCCACTACTGTGCCGCTTTTCGGAACTGGAGAGACCACATGTAGGGGTGAGAGTGCAGTGCAGTGACCATAGTCTGTTTAATCCTTAGCCTCCTCCTGTTGGCAGTCTCAGCCACGGACTCCATTTGTTTTGTGTTTTTGCAACATGGACACCTATCCATTAACTGCTGAACTGAGAGTGCCAACTAATTTCACATACAGTAGGTCATCCAAGAGCTACCTCAGCCACTACCCATCTCGGTTTGGATTAGAACAGGCAATCTGAAGGTGAAAGGCTTTGTATCCAATTGCAAATCACCTCATCCATTTATTTCCCCACTACTCCCTCCCTTTTTTACAAAAATCAATTACAGTGTATGTCTTGCTCTCTCCATCCAAATACTTCAAATAAATCAGATTTCTGGTATATCAGAAAGAATTTAAACAAACCTGTCTCCCCCATCCCTAACATATATGTCCTTATTTTTATCTTGTACGCTGTCAGGTAAGTTCCCTTTTTCCCTTCAGAAATAATTGATAGGACTAGTTAAGTCCTCATTAACCTAACTCATCACCTGGTAGTACTGCACTGTGAAAGCATTAGCTAAAGGAGAAGATTGCTCCAGCAATGAATTGCTAGACAAGGAACTGCTGGGTTCTTCCACCAAGGACACACAGGTGTTTTGATTTTTCAGTATGAGTATATGAGGGGACATTTTCTTTTCCGCTTCCCTTGCAAGCGATAAACTTTTCTGAAAAAGAACCGTTTTGGCCTTGTTCATCTTCAAGATTTTGAACTGACGTTTGGAAATGTCTCTGGTGCCTGTCGTGTTTTGGCTTTTTTGGAGGGCTAGAGACGAGGATAGAGGCTATGTGGTAGCAAACACTTGGGGAATCTAATCTCAACAGCTAGTATTTCTCAATGAGAGGCATTTCAAAAGAACATATATGGGGAGGTGTATGTTCTTTCTGCATTCCAAAAAGAGGCTCCTGGATGAACACAGTGGACTCTTAATTGGTGCTGCAGGTGTTTGAGAATGCAGCTTTGATTTGTATTCAGTTCCTGGGTGGAAACATATTTCATGGTTTTCTTGAGATTTGTCAAGCTGGCAACGCAGAATTTTCTTTAGTCTGTGCTTAGTTTTCACTGTTACTATTTCCCGTTGTAATTGCTGGATCAGAAATGACTAATTTGAAAATATTAACTCCCTCACATATGCTGAAAAGTTGGCTTTCTTTCCTTGGACCCATTTTATTTTTAGAGATGGGTAGAAAATGTTGCATTAACAACCTCTGTTTGATCCAGGTATGTAATTCATGGTGGTGGTAATTCTCAACACCAAGACACTCCCATGTGTGGCTTTCCAACCCTCTCCATAAAAACAGAACCCCAAACTTCTGTTTGAACAGTAATGTCCTTTCTGTACAAGTCTGTAAGTAGATAGATGAGAAGAAATCATTGCCATGTGTTTTACTGGAGGGGCAAGGGAAACTGTCGTGTTTAAACTAGCCTTTCCATTCTCACAGCAAATACTGCTACTGGCAAATTTTGAGGGTTTTTTTTTTTTTAAATAGTAGAACGGTCTCTAAAAAGCGGTCTGCTTTTTCAGTTGCTGTTTCTGAGGAAAGAGTCCAAATTCCTCATACTGACAGTAAACTTTCAGAAAGGAGTAGACTATTCTAGGGAATGGTGCGTGATTACTGTAAAGTCCTTGCCTGGCTAGCTAGTTGGTGGGATGGAGTGTGATGCATAGGATGTGTTTTAAAATGTCCATCTAACTGGACAGAGCTGAGGCTGTTTGCATGGATATTTGTTTTCCCCCCACACTGCAGAGCATTATGACTGAGTAGTGTTTGTCTTCACAGTGTTGAGCATTTCTAACATTGTTCTTTAGAGAAACGGGATTATACCCTTGTATATAATATTTTCTTTCTCAGCCATGGGGCCTATTTATATAATAGCAGAACAGAACAAATTCAATAGAAACATAGAAGACTATCACAGGAAAAACTATAGGATGGTATGGTATGCGACTACTAAGCAAGCAGGCTATTGCATATAACTCTTATTACTGTGTAAGATTAAAACAGAGCTGCTCCACTCAGAAAATTGAAAATGTGAACAGCTGACTTGGTGGCTTTGATAATTTTTCAGTTGTCCAGCCTTTAGGTTGGATCTGATGATCCAGAAGAAGAGTAATATTTTCTTTCTCCCTATGCAGATTGTGAGTAGGCTTCTGAATTGCTGGGTGAGGCATAGCCATGGGTAGTTGTTTGGGGAGGTAAGGGAAATGACGGAGCTTGCACCAAGTAGGAGCTCGCATTGTGTCACCATTCTGTCCAACTTGAAGGGCCAGCCAACGCCCCCTCCCCCAGGGTTATAATCTATACAGTTCTAGCTAAAACATGTCTCTCCTGCACAAGCACATTGAAAAAGGGTTTTCTGTTTTAACCACAGGCATAGTCTCAGGGTTCCCCAAAATCTGGGGATGAGAGGGGGAAAGATTTAAAAAAGAAAATGAAAATCGAGGCTATTCCATCCTAGTATGGACTTGTGTAACTCTCACTGTGTTTTCATGACTCTGAATAAGCCCTTCCTTCAAAAGACACAGAACAAAAAACCCTACAACATGGAAGAGCAAGGAAAAGCTAATCCTGCTCCTGCCACGTAGATCTTGACAATCTCACAAAAGACGGGGAAACAGTGTAAAATAGTGATTGCCAAAGTTTCTGAGAGCCTTTTGAGTCAAAACAAAAACAAAGCCAAAAAAAGAGCACACAGCCAGACCATGCATTGAATCTCATGGGAAGCTTCCCTCCTCCCCCCTTTTTTATTTCTCTCCTTGCACAGCTTAGTGTCATTCAGAATGGTGCTAGGTATCCATTGTTAGGGACGTTTGTCTGGTTCATTGTAAGGGGACATTTTAAGCTGAAACTCAAGTTTTTGTTCAGTGTCCTCTGTCGTCTTCCATCTCCATGTCGGGGCCTGGTTCTGCAAGGTGCTGAATGTCAGCGCTGAAGGCTTGTAGGATGGTCCAGGCCATTGTTCATTAGGTCTGTTCTGAAAGCATTTGGGTGTTGTAGATTCTTATTTATTTTTGTTTTCTCCTATATAAAAGCCTTTCTGAAAAACCAGACTAAATCTCTGAAACTTGGCACAAACCAAAGAAATTCATGACCTTGGCAAAGGGCTTTGATGGTAGAAAGTCAGAGTAAAGCTTAAGCGTCATTAAGTAGCTGACTTAGAAAACAATGGCACGGTGTGGTGAACCATAAGGAATACTGAAGTGCAAAAGAAGCTGAAAATAAATCCAGGGGAAGGCTAACTCCCCTTCTAAAACACATTGCAGATGTAAGAATTAAGTTTAGCTGTCGTGAAAGAAGTCCCTAATTTATGGAGGGAAATATGGGAATTGCCATTATGGATCAGACCAGACTTCAGAAACTGGCCATTCCTCACATCACATTTCAGTATAGAGTCAGAGGATGTTAGGATTGTATGTGTGCTTTTGGCTTTGGATGATATTAATATCATCATCATCAGGATTTGCATAACTTTTGTGTGTGCATTAATAGTATTTCCATATGGTGGCTCTTTATTCTGTAAATAGGTCTAGACTTGGAGAACATTTAGGCCTTAAAGAAACTAGTTGGTCTTCATATGGGCTCTAGTATTTGATTTGAGAAGTATGCAGCTAGGTAGGATATTAAACAAAAGCAGAGTACTTATCGCTTTACCTGTAGCACCATGGGCCTGATCCTGAAAGGATTTCAGTGGAACTTGCAGATGCTCCTCATCTTTCAATATCAAACCATATTCTTTTCAGTCCCCTTACTATTTAGTAGGTGTATTTGATTTTATTCCGTTTCAACAGGCACAAGTGAAATTGCACCAAGTGTCTTTAAATCCTCATGCAACAAATTGCTGGAGTATAAAGGCTGGACCTGAAAGTTATGAAATACCAAACTGACACATGGACATTTCATTAAAAAATCATCTAAAATAGCTGTTATAGGATACAATTGCAGTAATTAGCTAAGAGAATAGTTTTCTCTCCTGGCTCTCTGATTTCTTGACAGTAAGTAAAGAGGGCAAGAAACAATCCAAAATCTTTAGTGAGAGGATACATGGCATATTGTATGAAGATGATCCCAGACCAAGCTTAGAAAAGATATGTTACAATTTAAACCACAGCCAGTAGCAATGATCCCGTGAACATCTTGAAACCAAATAATTGCAATCTTTTTAAAACTGCTTGTTTAACTGCAGTCATGGTTCTTTGAGTCAGTTGCCTCTGATACAGATCAATGAGTAGTCTGATCCTTAGGATCAGGCAGGAGGCAGTCAATAGAAGCCAAGAATGAATATATTTTCCAGGAAATATAAAAGAACACCAAACTAGGTACAAACATAGAGGAAATGGAGAAAAATGTGTGTCTGAAATGAACAGAGCGTCACACTCATCAGACAGAGCTGGTCTTATCTGCTTCTTAGCCCTGGTCTACACTAGGACTTTAGGTCGAATTTAGCAGTGTTAAATCGATGTAAACCTGCACCCGTCCACACAATGAAGCCCTTTATTTCGACTTAAAGGGCTCTTAAAATCGATTTCCTTACTCCACCCCTGACAAGTGGATTAGCGCTTAAATCGACGTTGCCGGCTCGAATTTGGGGTACTGTGGACACAATTCGATGGCATTGGCCTCCGGGAGCTATCCCAGAGTGCTCCATTATGACCGCTCTGGACAGCACTCTCAACTCAGATGCACTGGCCAGGTAGACAGGAAAAGAACCGCGAACTTTTGAATCTCATTTCCTGTTTGGCCAGCGTGGCAAGCTGCAGGTGACCATGCAGAGCTCATCAGCACAGGTGACCATGATGGAGTCCCAGAATCGCAAAAGAGCTCCAGCATGGACCGAACGGGAGGTACGGGATCTGATCGCTGTTTGGGGAAAGGAATCCGTGCTATCAGAACTCCGTTCCAGTTTTCGAAATGCCAAAACCTTTGTGAAAATCTCCCAGGGCATGAAGGACAGAGGCCATAACAGGGACCCGAAGCAATGCCGCGTGAAACTGAAGGAGCTGAGGCAAGCCTACCAGAAAACCAGAGAGGCGAACAGCCGCTCTGGGTCAGAGCCCCAAACATGCCGCTTCTATGATGAGCTGCATGCCATTTTAGGGGGTTCAGCCACCACTACCCCAGCCGTGTTGTTTGACTCCTTCAATGGAGATGGAGGCAATACGGAAGCAGGTTTTGGGGACGAAGAAGATGATGAGGAGGAGGAGGTTGTAGATAGCTCACAGCAAGCAAGCGGAGAAACCGGTTTTCCCGACAGCCAGGAACTGTTTCTCACCCTAGACCTGGAGCCAGTACCCCCCGAACCCACCCAAGGCTGCCTCCTGGACCCAGCAGGCGGAGAAGGGACCTCTGGTGAGTGTACCTTTTAAAATACTATACATGGTTTAAAAGCAAGCATGTGAAAGGATTACTTTGCCCTGGCATTTGCGGTTCTTCTAGATGTAGTCCTAAAGCCTTTGCAAAAGGTTTCTGGGGAGGGCAGCCTTATTGCGTCCTTCATGGTAGGACACTTTACCACTCCAGGCCAGTAACACGTACTCGGGAGTCATTGTAGAACAAAGCATTGCAGTGTATGTTTGCTGGCATTCAAACAACATCCGTTCTTTATCTCTCTGTGTTATCCTCAGGAGAGTGAGATATAATTCATGGTCACCTGGTTGAAATAGAGTGCTTTTCTTCAGGGGACACTCAGAGGAGCCCATTCCTGCTGGGCTGTTTGCCTGTGGCTAAACAGAAATGTTCCCCGCTGTTAGCCACAGGGAGGGGGGAAGGTTGAGGGGGTAGTCACGCGGTGGGAGGAGGCAAAATGCGACCTTGTAACGAAAGCACATGTGCTATGTATGTAATGTTAACAGCAAGGTTTACCCTGAAAGAGTGTAGCCACTGTTTTATAAAATGTGTCTTTTTAAATACCGCTGTCCCTTTTTTTTTTCTCCACCAGCTGCATGTGTTTCAATGATCACAGGATCTTCTCCTTCCCAGAGGCTAGTGAAGCTTAGAAAGAAAAAAAAACGCACTCGCGATGAAATGTTCTCCGAGCTCATGCTGTCCTCCCACACTGACAGAGCACAGACGAATGCGTGGAGGCAAATAATGTCAGAGTGCAGGAAAGCACAAAATGACCGGGAGGAGAGGTGGCGGGCTGAAGAGAGTAAGTGGCGGGCTGAAGAGAGTAAGTGGCGGGCTGAAGACAGGGCTGAAGCTCAAATGTGGCGGCAGCGTGATGAGAGGAGGCAGGATTCAATGCTGAGGCTGCTGCAGGACCAAACCAGTATGCTCCAGTGTATGGTTGAGCTACAGCAAAGGCAGCTGGAGCACAGACTGCCACTGCAGCCCCTCTGTAACCAACCGCCCTCCTCCCCAAGTTCCATAGCCTCCACACCCAGACGCCCAAGAACGCGGGGGGGGGGGCCTCCGGCCAACCAGCCACTCCACCACAGAGGATTGCCCAAAAAAAAGAAGGCTGTCATTCAATAAATTTTAAAGTTGTAAACTTTTAAAGTGCTGTGCTTAAAGTGCTGTGTGGCATTTTCCTTCCCTCCTCCACCACCCCTCCTGGGCTACCTTGGTAGTCATCCCCCTATTTGTGTGATGAATGAATAAAGAATGCATGAATGTGAAGCAACAATGACTTTATTGCCTCTGCAAGCGGTGATTGAAGGGAGGAGGGGCGGGTGGTTAGCTTACAGGGAAGTAGAGTGAACCAAGGGGCGGGGGGTTTCATCAAGGAGAAACAAACAGAACTTTCACACCGTAGCCTGGCCAGTCATGAAACTGGTTTTCAAAGCTTCTCTGATGCGTACCGCGCCCTCCTGTGCTCTTCTAACCGCCCTGGTGTCTGGCTGCGCGTAACCAGCAGCCAGGCGATTTGCCTCAACCTCCCACCCCGCCATAAACGTCTCCCCCTTACTCTCACAGATATTGTGGAGCACACAGCAAGCAGTAATAACAGTGGGAATATTGGTTTCGCTGAGGTCTAAGCGAGTCAGTAAACTGCGCCAGCGCGCCTTTAAACGTCCAAATGCACATTCTACCACCATTCTGCACTTGCTCAGCCTGTAGTTGAACAGCTCCTGACTACTGTCCAGGCTGCCTGTGTACGGCTTCATGAGCCATGGCATTAAGGGGTAGGCTGGGTCCCCAAGGATACATATAGGCATTTCAACATCCCCAACAGTTATTTTCTGGTCTGGGAATAAAGTCCCTTCCTGCAGCTTTTGAAACAGACCAGAGTTCCTGAAGATGCGAGCATCATGCACCTTTCCCGGCCATCCCACGTTGATGTTGGTGAAACGTCCCTTGTGATCCACCAGAGCTTGCAGCACTATTGAAAAGTACCCCTTGCGGTTTATGTACTTGGCGGCTTGGTGCTCCGGTGCCAAGATAGGGATATGGGTCTTATCCGTCTATAGCCCCACCACAGTTAGGGAATCCCATTGCAGCAAAGCCATCCACTATGACCTGCACATTTCCCAGGGTCACTACCCTTGATATCAGCAGATCTTTGATTGCGTGGGCTACTTGCATCACAGCAGCCCCCACAGTAGATTTGCCCACTCCAAATTGATTCCCAACTGACCGGTAGCTGTCTGGCGTTGCAAGCTTCCACAGGGCTATCGCCACTCGCTTCTCAACTGTGAGGGCTGCTCTCATCTTGGTATTCATGCGCCTCAGGGCAGGGGAAAGCAAGTCACAAAGTTCCATGAAAGTGCCCTTACGCATGCGAAAGTTTCACAGCCACTGGGAATCGTCCCAGACCTGCAACACTATGCGGCCCCACCAGTCTGTGCTTGTTTCCCGAGCCCAGAATCGGCGTTCCACAGCATGAACCTGCCCCATTAGCACCATGATGCATGCATTGGCAGGGCCCATGCTTTCAGAGAAATCTGTGTCCATGTCCTGATCACTCACGTGACCGCGCTGACGTCGCCTCCTCGCCTGGTATCGCTTTGCCAGGTTCTGGTGCTGCATATACTGCTGGATAATGCGTGTGGTGTTTAATGTGCTCCTAATTGCCAAAGTGAGCTGAGCGGCCTCCATGCTTGCCTTGGTATGGCGTCCGCACAGAAAAAAGGCGCGGAACGATTGTCTGCCGTTGCTCTGACGGAGGGAGGGGCGACTGACGACACGGCTTACAGGGTTGGCTTCAGGGAGCTAAAATCAACAAAGCGGGTGTCTTTACATCAAGGAGTATTTCAGGCAGGACTTCACGGAGGGTTCCAATAAGAAATGGTGCACCTAAGTTATCGTTCTTATTGGAACAAGGAGGTTAGCCTGGCCTCTGATTGATACATGGCTAGATTTACCTCGCTGCACCTTCTCTGTGAGTGACTGCAGTGTGACCTAGAGGAATGAGTCCCCTAGACAGGGGAGGAGGCAAATGAGTACAAAACAAATCTGGTCTATTTCTTGTTTTGATCCACTCCATCTATCTTTTACATCTTTGGCTGGCAGCAGACGGTGCAGAAGGACTGCATGCCATCCACATCTCATGGCTGCTCGGCAGAAGATGGTACAGTACGACTGCTAGCAGTCCGTATCGCCTGCCCGCTCACCATAAGACGGTTCAATAGGACTGACTGCAGGACTAAAGAGAATGACCTGGTCAAGTCACTCCAAATTTAGTCCCTGCGCCCATGTCTGCCCAGGCGCTCCCAGCCGACGTGGCCAGAGCACCTCGGACATGACGATGACGGCTACCAGTCGTACTGTACCGTCTGCTGCCACAAGGTAAGGGGTTGCTGCTACTGTGTAGCAATGCCGTACCGCGTCTGCCAGCACCCAGGAGACATAGGGTGACGGTTACCTGAGCGGGCTCCATGCTTGCCGTGGTATGGCGTCTGCACAGGTAACTCAGGAAAAAAGGCGCGAAACGATTGTCTGCCCTTGCTTTCACGGAGGGAGGGAGGGAACGGGGGGCCTGACGATATGTACCCAGAACCACCCGTGACAATGTTTTAGCCCCGTCAGGCATTGGGATCTCAACCCAGAATTCCAATGGGCAGCGGAGACTGCGGGAACTGTGGGATAGCTACCCACAGTGCAACGCTCCGGAAGTCGACTCTAGCCTCGGTACTGTGGAAGCGCTCCGCCGAGTTAATGCACTTAATGCACTTAGAGCATTTTCTGTGGGGACACACACACTCGAATATATAAAACCGACTTCTATAAATTCGACCTTATTCCGTAGTGTAGACATACCCTTATTGTAAAAGTGGGAATCCTCTAATGGCTGCGAGGGAAAAAGGGGGAAGGTATAATGCTGACTAGAGGGGAAATCTTTAGCTTCATTGGCTGCCTCCTGTCTAATCAATGTGAATTGTTCTGAACTTATATCAACCACAGAAAACAACTTGCAAGCAAGAAATTCACTTTCTTATTAAGGACCCAGCAGCGTAAGAAAACTTAAGATCCACTTGGGTGTCACTCTGCTTCAGACCTTTTTTGGCATTAAACTTCTAGTCCCTGTTTCTTCACAGTAAAACACAGATGTTTAATTTTAGACTGGCAGATGTTTCACTCCTGATTGAGATGTGAAACAAAGGCAAGATGTGGGCATTTATAAACCAGTAATATTGTTCCTGCACTTCCAGATTAATTCTGTGTATAAATAGGACACGCATCATATCTCTACATTTGAGTATACTGTTGCAAATAGCACTATTAGTAAAATATGTATAGTTCAATGGTGGACTATATTACCATTTTTTCTTCTTGTGTGCACGCACGCGTGTGTGTACTTTTCTGTAAACATACATACCATTTGCCAGTAAATCTACTAAGAATCTGTGAAAATAGCTGCAGATGCTGGGTTCTGTTTTCATGTCCGCTCCCTACCAAGTGTGAGATAAGGATTCTTGTAAACTCTTTGTTTGAAAGGAAAAATCTGACTCTTTGGAAAAGGGAGGGCAACTAGAGGTATGCTTCCAAACTCCAGTCATCCATGATAGTTGAGAAGAGGGTAATTTTGTGGATAAGGCAATGGACTAGGACCCAAGACTTCTGGGTTCACACTTCCTGTGTGACCAGGGTCAAGTAACTTCAGCTGCTCTCTCTGTTCTCTGTCTGTAACATAGGAACAATAATACTTCCCTACCCTGTAGAATAGTGAATGAGAAGAATAAGAAGAGAATCCAGATGAAAACCTCTGGAATTGTGAACTTCCAAGGGGGAATTGGTATTTCTGCTCTTTGAGTTGGCAAGAGCCAAGAAGATATTAAAGCAACTGGCCTTTAGGGAGTACAGTCAACAGTTTCAAATTTGGATGCCTGAAATTAGACATCAAAATCTTGGCACTGATATTCAGAGGTGCTGGGCACTCGCAATGCTCATTAAAATCATTGGGAGACCTGGGTGCTCAGCACCTCTGAAAATGAGGTCACCTATTTAGGTACCCAAGTAAGCGCCTAACTGCATGATTTGGGCACCCCAGTGTGAAAATGTTGGCCACTGACATATTACTGTCATTCTTTCTGAACTGATGCGTGTCCACGAGCCCCATTAACAGCCTGTCAAGAGAAATTTGAGGCCCTGGTACATTGTTTGCTGGGGCTGCAGCCCCTCCCTTTTCACCCAGTTACAGACATGGGAAGGGGGCTGAGCTTGGGGTTCAGGTACAATTGTCCTCCTTTTACCTTTCTTGTCAGCCCTGCCAGTTAACCTGTTCTTCATTGTCTAGGTAATCAGAATTTCATTTTTGCTGATAACTTCTACTTTTTTTTAAGGTTTTTATATGTACACGAATTAATTTGTATTAGTTTTTTTTTTTAACATCATACGCATAATATTTACAAATGTATAGCCAGTCGGATTATTGCTTCTTACAACTGTGTAGTAAAAGGTAATAATAAAATACTTCTTAAGATCTAATGGTTTGTAACAGCCCATTGTCAACTAAAACAGTGATACTTAGAAATGGAGGACCTCATGTAACTGACCTCTGCAAAGCAGAGCGCATCTTAAGAGCGTGTGGAACAAAGGCACTCAGCACCACCAAGCAGATGCTGGAAGGGTCCAATGCCACAAGTTGTTGAGTGCCAGTAATTTCTATTAATTTCAGCACTTCCTAGGATTTGGTTTTCACCTAACCAGGTAGCTCTGAGGTAGTTTTCCATACTCCAGTCCTGGATGTGTCCTCTTGTAGGTCAGTTGTTGCTTGTTATGAAACCCTTCCAAGTTTCAGACCCAAATACGTGTGTGTGTGTGTGTGTGTGTGTGTGTGTGTGTAAATAAAATACATGGGTGCAGCCGCATAGCTCCTACTGCCTTTTTAATTATTTCTTCTTTTCCTCTGCGTTAGCTGGTAAGCTGCTTTCTTAGTCTAGTACAAAACTATGTGAGACAATACTTCACATTGTTTGCCATTTCATTCAAAGGAAGAGGAGCAGCTGCCCTCTGAAGATACAAATTAATTAGAAGTGAATACTATCCTGTTCTGTAGAGCATAAAGGCCAAACAGACTTGCTTTCTTTGAAAACATGGGACCTCAAAGTGTTTTGTACCCTGGTTTTTTTTTATGCTACAGTTCTGTGTGCA